AGAGAGAGAGAGAGAGAGAGAGAGAGAGAGAGAGAGAGAGAGAGAGAGAGAGAGAGAGAGAGAGAGAGAGAGAGAGAGAGAGAGAGAGAGAGAGAGAGAGAGAGAGAGAGAGAGAGAGAGAGAGAGAGAGAGAGAGAGAGAGAGAGAGAGAGAGAGAGAGAGAGAGAGAGAGAGAGAGAGAGAGAGAGAGAGAGAGAGAGAGAGAGAGAGAGAGAGAGAGAGAGAGAGAGAGAGAGAGAGAGAGAGAGAGAGAGAGAGAGAGAGAGAGAGGAGAGAGAGAGAGAGAGAGAGAGAGAGAGAGAGAGAGAGAGAGAGAGAGAGAGAGAGAGAGAGAGAGAGAGAGAGAGAGACGAGTGAGACGAGATTGCCCCTGGACAATGTAAAGTGGTCGAACTTTAAAGCAGTGATGGTCGAATGGGAATAGATTGGGCTTACGGTTTTACATTGTCTACATGGTGGTGACAAAACCGGGTCTGTTATGGCGTGGGCTGTCCTACAACGCAATATGTGTCTTCCTGGTGTTTATGTACTTACAGCTATTTTAATTTGTCATGCATATTCTGCACGCTTGACATAAAGGTCACGTATCTGAATGGTAGGCTAAATTATAACACATCACGGACTGTCAACAAAATGTGTTGTGAAAAAGGCGTGAACGCATTTTCGCGATTTAAAAAAAAAATTATTATTTCATTATATATTTTCATATTATATTTTTATATTTATTTCATATAATTTATTATCAAAATTATTATTCGCAATTTCAATATTTTGTCAGAATGTGTCCTGTAATCCGATATGACTAACTGGCGAGGAACTTTTAGCTCCACCCCGGACGAGACGTCATTGCATTTGGTTCAGCTTTTTACCCAAGTGAGCATGAATACGCTCTGACTTTAAAGTGGTGCCTGGTTGCGTGCAGCTTAAATCGATTAGATACGGAACAAAAACCAACTACCGCCAGCTCACGTTAGCACATATTGTGTTAGAAAGTCATTTCAAGCCTTTCATTCCGTTCCGATCAAGAGAAATGCGCTGACCCGGGCAAAAAAGGTTTGGTTCTAAGACGGATACAATGCAATCATTGCGCCTGAGGCCGCACGAGGAGGATACGCCTACTGGCGGGCTCCGCTCACAGGCCAGAGCACAGCGGGCCCTGGCTCCTCACAATGGTCCGGCACACAGCGGGCCCTGGCGCCGCTCACAGTCCAGCGCACAGCGGGCCCTGGCTCCTCACAATGGTCCGGCACACAGCGGGCCCTGGCGCCGCTCACAGTCCAGCGCACAGCGGGCCCTGGCTCCTCACAATGATCTGCGGCCTACACTTTCATCTGTGTCGCAGCGATTGTGGCCTCGCGAGGTCCACAGCTGGCCATAGCATCTGATCGCAGGCTCTGAGAGGGCGGCAGGCGCTCCCAGGCCCGCAGCCCGTAGGAGCGCAGCAGCCGGTGAGCGGCCGCCGCCGCGCCGGCAGACGCCAGCGGGCCGATGGAGACTTCACGCCCGCACAGAACGCCATCACCGGGCTCGGCTCGGCTGCGCTGCGAACCGTTGCCGCCACGTGGGAGAAGTTACCGCTCCGGGACGACCGTGAGACGCCGGCGCCGGCCAGGAACAGTTACCGAGGCGGCTCCACACTTCACACGATCTGCGCGCGACGCGCACGACCCAGACCAGCGCACGCATCCTCCACACAGCAGGGCACGGTGATGTGTAATACCATATATTTAGTCAGACCGGACACGACAGACAGCGGGTTTTGGTAATCGAGACCCCTCGACCGTGGTTGGTCGGTAGTGCGACAATCGATATGAAGTCATTGGTGTATACTGCACTGATTGCAGTTTTCATTTTCGGTTCACGCAGTGCCGAGTGAAACGAAAGTTTTGAGGGACAAGCCAGAAGGCAGCTTGTCTGTAGGACTCTCTAGTGTCTTAAGATTTTCAGATGAGCCTGTGGAGCATTGCATTTGAAATATGAGGAGAGCCTTAGATATACGCTGTCTGTAATGTCATTTTAAATGTAATTGTTTTTCGTTGCATGGGCACAAATATGACTTGCGTTGCATTATCCAAAGAAATTAATCGCAGTCAAACGCATGGCATTGTTCAATCTAATTGTAGTTGTTTAATCCAGGTCACCAAATATTTCATTGCAGTGTGCGGTGGCATCATAATCCAGGCAGAGTTGTGCTACCGTTATCCTAAGAGTGGCACTGAGTCGTAACGTGGGAACCCAGGAGATGTAATGGGATATGACACAGCCGGTGTGTCACTGAACGGGCTGGCTTGAATCGTGGTAAGGACCCGACTGCCGCATGGTGCATTCTTAACAGCTAGCTGTCCTCTCCCCTGGCCGGACCTGTCGTGTGTGTATGAAAGCAAAACCGACATGCGGCATGGTTGCCCGCGATCGCTGCCGATCGGCGCCCGTCGTCGCCATCTGTGGGCGCTCGGGCCGCCGCCAGCCGCCGTCGTGCGGTCGGGCGTCACGGTCGGCGGCTCACTCCCGGTGACGCTGGGTCGGCGGCTCACTCCCGGTGACGCTGGGTCGGCGGCGCACTCCCGGTGACGCTGGGTCGGCGGCTCACTCCCGGTGACGCTGGGTCGGCGGCTCATTCCCGGTGACGCTGGGTCGGCGGCTCATTCCCGGTGACGCTGGGTCGGCGGCTCACTCCTGGCGGCGCTGGGTCGGCGGCTCACTCCCGGTGACGCTGGGTCGGCGGCTCACTCCTGGCGGCGCTGGGTCGGCGGCGCACTAGAAACCGACTCGGAAGGTGCTATGGATGCAGCTTGCACGGTGCGGGCCCATGACCAGCCTTGAAGGGGCTGTCCCCATGCATACGCTTCAGCGAAGTGGAGCTGAGCGACGCGCAAAGCCGAGCAAAGCCGAGCCGAGCGAAAGTCCCGCGCTTAGACAGTAAGGGATGGAAGAGTCTAATGCGTACCGCACAGAGCGACCGCCAAGTCCATACACGACATACTATGAGGGAGTGAAGCACAAAGTAAATGAACTTCACAAGCAATTTTAATGGCATTGTTTTGCGCCCTCTGGGGCGAGCTCTGAGCTCGAACCCTGGCTGTACCACGCTCGCTAGTCGCTAACATGACCTCTGCACCACGCTCGCTAGACGCTAACATGACCTCTGCACCACGCTCGCTAGGCGCTAACATGACCCTGCACCACACTCGCTAGGCGCTAACATGATCTCTGCACCACGCTCGCTAGGCGCTAACATGACCTCTGCACCACGCTCGCTAGGCGCTAACATGACCTCTGCACCACGCTCGCTAGACGCTATCATGACCTCTGCACCACGCTCGCTAGGCGCTAACATGACCTCTGCACCACGCTCACTAGGCGCTAACATGACCTCTGCACCACGCTCGCTAGGCGCTAACATGACCTCTGCAGCCAGTAGTGCTGCATGACAGCATGCGTAATGGCATGCATCACGATCCCTTTAAAACGAAGAAAATAAAAAACAGAATTGATACCGGCATGGGCGCTTGGCCGAAGCCCTAGCCGACCGGAAAGGTGCCGGCACCCCTGTCACCGGCCGGAGGGAGACAGAGTGTGGCCTGAAGAGCACAGGCCGCCGGCCGCCAGCCAACCGGGAGGCCACTGGATGTGTTGGCGCTCCCCTCATATGTCTGCGCTGTTCTGCGCGAGACGCCACGTGGCTAGGAGCTCCGCTTCCTCCTTGTTCACAATGATCGTAATTCATCTCCGTTTGTTAAGTATGACCGAAGCCTTCGTAAACAAGCACCAAACACACAAACGACTGTGAACGGTGGTCGCGAATCTTCCGACAATGCGACTTACGAACAAGCTTGGTGGGTTTGTGGACAGACGTCTGATAGAATGGGCTGCGTCAGGAAAGTCTCCAGATTTTTGGAGGGTTAGAGCCCCTCATCATTATGAACCTCATTATTTTACCTACGGATGTTGAGAGGAAACAATTCTCTGAAATTCTCTTGTGTCCCTGAAGCTTTTGAAAACAGGTCCACCTCTGGTTGGTGTGGTTGGAAGACTGGAGCATGCAAAGCAAGCCCATGATGTTTGCTGGCCACCTGCCAATCCCCTCATAATTCTGTTTCGTATGTCACTAGCGACGGCAGTACGGTATGACAGCATTCATCCTCAGATAGTCTGCATTACCCGCGCAAAAAGATATAATATACATCGGAATAAAACCTAAGCTGTTGAACACTAGTACATCAATAATGATAGTTTTGTTGTAGAGCAAATGCACCTGAACAATGTACAAATGGGATTAAGCAATATACCCATGCATACTACATTGAGATGTCATGCACAGAATGCATAAAGTAGCACTCAAATAATGTTCGCTTACCGACGATTCACAAGGCCTGACAGCAGAGGCGCAGATTATACAATGCTCGGCAATAGTGAGAAATACTTTGTGACTTAACAATCTGACTGTCAGAGGGAGCATATTCATCTCTTACCCAGTGCAATTATCATCCCTTTGCCTAGTGCAAATTTTGACTGAACTGGCATATGTTTTGTATCGGCTCGCTGGACGGGCGGAGCGCTTGCAACCCTAGCGCGTCGTTCCGTCACCGCGCTCCAGTACCTGGCCGCTTGCCCCATTTAACTGCTGGGCGGTGAATTTGGGGCGACTGTGGAACAGGAGAGATTCGACGTAGCTGAGTAGGCTTGTTTAAGTGGCACACCATTCAACTTGAACGAACACCACGGTGAACTGCTCGAGCAGGCTCGGAATTTCCCCACGGAAAAGGTGGTCTGGCAACAAATAATGACAAATTTGGGATCTCCATTCCTTGTCTTAGTGTAAACCAGACTGCGTTACACGTTCGAGACAGACCAAAGAGGGAAAACAAGAGAAATTCGTGCGACTGAGTAGATACACATGGGCTTATAATAACCACCAGGTATGTTTGAGAAGAATTAGGGTCGGTTAGTACACGCTCCGCTGTAGTTTGGCTGCAGTCGCTCATGTCAATTTAGCTCACCTGAGTTCCCGTGCAAGGTTGAGCGGCTCCACAGACGGGTCACGTGCGCATGCTGTCGGCGAGCTGCCGTTGGGCCGCGCGGTGCCACAGGGTCTGATGACGTCGGCAGCAGTGGAGCCGGCCCGCTCACGACGGGCTCAGGAGCGGTACTGAAGTCCCGCGGCCGCGGCCGCCGCCGCTGCCGCCGCCGCCGCCAAAAGTGAAACCAGTCGGCCGTGTCGGACGGCTTCTGCTGCTCGGTACTGGCGCCGTAACACAGACCCGGGCCCTGCGACACTGGCGCTGCGGCACAGATCCGGGCGCTGCGACACAGATCCGGGTGCTGCGATGGCTTCAACTGCTCAGCATTGGCGCTGCGACACAGACCCGGGCGCTGCGACACAGATTCGGGTGCTGCGATGGCGTCAGCTGCTCAGTATTGGCGCTGCGAGACAGATCCGGGCGCTGCGACACAGGTCTGGGTGCTGCGATGGATTCAGCTGCTCAGTATTGGCGCTGCGACACAGATCCGGGCGTTGCGATGGCTTCAACTGCTCAGTATTGGCGCCGTGACACAGACCCGACACTGCGCGACGAATAGTCTTGATTAGTCAGTGTGTTTGCAGTCTCCTTCAAGTTGCATGATTGATTGGGCTGCTCTTGCAGTAATTTTACTATTGCATTCCTCTCTATAGGTATGCCAGTCGGGAGAACCACACATTCTAAGCAAATGTTCACACCTGAAACGGATTTTGGTTTCTGAAGCGATGTTTCATTTCTTCGTATTGCATATTTGCTACTATTCTGTTGTAAATCTGGTGTGAAGTATTTTTCTGTAACATGAGCGAGCAGGATGGAGAGAAAGATGCTGAGCTACATCGGGTGAATGAGGCTTAGTATCACCATTGTTCATTAGCCTCCTATTCGTTCTAGTTGAAGCCAAAACTCCGTGGGTAACAAAAGTCGAAAACGATGACAACGGGCAGGACGAACTTCTGGCCAAAAAAGGATGTTCCGAACCAGAAGGCGTCCAGTATCTTTACAGGTACACATTTCAAAATATGTGGCTTGTGTTCAACATATTTAATCATTCTATTCGATCCATGTGAGTAATCTTAATTGTGTCAAAGAGATAGCAACTGCCAGCACTGCCGCGTGATCTTATGTTAGATCATTATCTAAGCTTGCCAGCTCATATACCGACGAAATTAAGTTATTTTTTTTCTTCTGCAATCACCGACACGTTTAGCGGCAGACATGAGGTGATGTGAAACACAATTATTTCTTCGCCACTTACAATCAGCAGCATCACAACAGCAGCTGTTACCTGAGTCGCACAGATTACGTCCATCAGTTCAAGTTGTTTTGTTCCCACGTACCAAGAATTTGATCTTGATGAATGAGAATGGTGTGTACGTGGTGGTGTGTAATTGTGTGCTGCCGCGACAGATGGATGCCATTCCCAGCTTCCGTCTTCCAAGATCCCCACTAAAACAAATGAGAAACCAAATAAAGGTTCATTCATATACCGATATCTAGAAACAAGGCACTGAGGAGAAATATCTGGATAATTTTGACTATAATGAGCTCAAATTCGGTATGGTGACTGGATGCTCTCATTCAGTGACCTGGCCCGTGTATAATGACTGGATGCCTTCCTTCAGTGGCCTGGTTCGTGTTTAGTGACTGGATGCTCTCCTTCAGTGACCTGGTCCGTGTATAGTGACTGAACACTCCCTCAGCGACCTGGTCCGTGTATAGTGCCTGGATGCTCCTTCAGTGACCTGGTCCGTGCATAGTGATTGGATACTCCTTTGGTGCCCTGGTCCGTGTATAATGACTGGGTACTCCTTCAGTGACCTGGTCCGTGTATAGTGACTGGATGCTCCTTCAGTGCCCTGGTCCGTGTGTAGTGACTGGATACTCCTTCGGTGACCTGGTCCGTGTGTAGTGACTGGATACTCCTTCGGTGCCCTGGTCCGTGACAATGGCCATGATAACCTCGACGTGATTTCAAACGTGGTTTATACGTACGTGATTTGTATCGCGTGAGAAACATATGCCATTGAGTAGTGGATGCCTTTGTGTTTTGCTTCTCTTACCGAAAGCGAATAGAAAACATGTCATTTTTATCATACATCACTGCGTTACAGAGCGAATTAGAGATCACATATCAGAACACCCATGTATGTTCTGAACCACAAGCACCACACTTAGCCCCGCCTTCTCCGTACAATGCTCTGCATTTTTCAAAGGAGGTTAGCAAAACTTTTTTCAGATGATTCAGCTGTGACCCATTGGCTATCCCTTAGAAACGCTTCCACAGCACGTGCGCGACGGAACCTTTTGCCTGAATTTTCATAGAATGTAACAGACGCCCTGACACGGGCAAATTGAAGCCAGCCAGCCATACTTAAGGTTCACGTCTACTGGTCCGACAATATCTCTCAGCCGTCGCTGCCCACTACCAGTCACGATACAGACCATCTAAGACAGCCGACTCGTTCTGGGACTCGAAGGTCGCACGCTCGTACCGCTTGGCGGCCATTTGTGCACTAGCATGCAGCGAAGTGAAGCCGAACGGGTTCCATAGATATGAGAAGAAGTGGTCCACAAAGGCCGCGTGTGCTGGCCAGTGCTGCAGGCAGAACCACCGCCCGCCAATACTGTGCCGATGCGGTTCACGGAGTGTAGCCTCGGCTGCGAGGGGTGGCGGGCAGAACCACCGCCCGCCAATACTGTCTCGTCGCGGTTCACGGAGTGTAGCCTCGGCTGCAAAGGATGGCGGGCAGAACCACCTCCCGCCAATACTGTGCCGACGCGGTTCACGGAGTGTAGCCTCGGCTGCAAGGGGTGCTCACTGGCCAGTACAGTAGCCAGTCCGCATGGGAGCAGTGCGGTGAAATACAGGACTGTCAGAGCAGGGGCACACGTCCACACTTACGAGAACGGCGGTCTCGGTGAGAACATCTCGTCTTAACCTGAAGGGGATCGCATCGTCTATAGCCTTCGTCGGTATCGTCTATAGCCTTCGTCTGTATCGTATTTGAATCCGACGGTCCAGCACTCCTAGAGCGGTTACTCTCAGCACTCTTAGAGCGGTCAGAGTTGGCATTTTTTACCTAAACGACGGTACTCTGTGGCATTGCATTCATTGGTTTACTGACCAACAGCTATAAAAGAACGAAATGATGAGGTCTGCTAAAGGGACAGCGTGACCGTGCACAGCACATCACTAACGATGCCATTCAGCAGGCCCCACTAGTGACGTCTTTGGACATTGGCCACCGCGTGTCACTGATGCCACTTGCACATAATCCTCGTGATTTTAGTGGACAAACTTTCACGAACACAACTTTTCTGTTCGGATAAAGTTTGTTACCATTCGCCGCCTGGCGCCACTGTTCACTCTTGTGATCCATATCCTTTCAATCACATAGGCACCTGACGGCTCGTGATTTGACAAACATTAATCCCCATGCATTTAATTGTTTTGAGCTTGACATTTGACCTTTCGTTTACCGTTAAATTAAACCTCGCGATCCAAGCATAATTCCAAGAACGGACTTGCCACCCATGATAACCCCATACAAAGATGTTACTTGAACACCTATGTCATCGAGATTAAAATAAGCAAATTGGTTAGCATTCAGGAAGGCGGCGGCCGCGACCTTGAATTCTGAAAAAATGCCCAAGGCTACACAAAAAGCAGCCATACTATCTCAGTTTTCTTCGTTATATGAAAGATACCGTCGTGAAAAAATGTGTTAATTTACATTACAGGGTCAACATTTTAAAGCTTGACTTATTTCTTGCGGACATTTCTGACCCGCGTGCACTAATCTTGCAAGTAATTGCAGGTGCTTTCAACTTTCATTAACCTGAACTTTATCGTATTGGCACAACTGCTGCTACCAAATTTCAGATAAGTCACTTGGCTAGTCCTTCAAAGTCAGAGATGACAATCAAAAAGTGTCAAGCTCACACAGGTATCCACACAAGGTCGAATGGTCACGTGTGTGTATGCACCTTCAACACGTAAACCCAATAATTATAACAAACATACATGTGCATATTTGTATACACCCGAACTATGTGTGCTTCTATCCAGAAATACCATTCAATCACCGGCCATCGTTCATCAGCCATGTTTTTCATTCCGGTACACATCATATTTCTTTACGTCAGGTCAAGGTCCATTGATTGGGACATCAATATTGTTCATAAATTGGGACATCGTTGTCCAGCTCAATATTCATTTGGATTGCGGTGAGCATCGGGCTTGAACTTCTTTCGCTTGCAGTGGTAACAAAAACCTTTTTTAAACGATAACTTAAAAGCCTTAAAAATAAAAATGATAGCCTTCAGCACTTAAAGAGAATGGTTCACGTTTGAAGATATTAAAGCAAGTATGGTATATGATGAAACAAGCTCACTTATAACTATTTGTATGATTTTTAAATGGAAAAGACTGCTCTAGTTTGCACATCGTTTATCAGATATGCTCCTCCATGCGTTACGGTTTGATAACGTCATCGTACCTTGCGTAACATTGATTAAGGGCTAATTGACTGCCGTTATATCTGGAAATCGCGCTCACGAACGCCAGATATGAACGCCTCGACACATTTTCCCCTTGCCTTGATCGCTGCATGGCTTAGGGAATGGCGTGATTTGAATGGTGTTATCATGGCGTCATTAATGCCAAGGTGACTTTAGAATCCTCTCCGATATACCTTTCCCCATTTTCGCGGGCGCTTGGCTCAGAAACTGGAGGGGCTTAGGTCATAGGAAGGGTAGGATTGTGAACAGCACCAAAAGGTGTTCGATACGGCTTTCCACTTGAACAGTGCCACTCGCCAGGAAGATCGAGTTGAATAACGGTCACTGACACTGTTAAACCCTCGATGGGTCCTTGAACTCGATCCTCTATTTAATTTGGCTAAGGACGCGTCTTTGTGCCCACTGTGTTTTGAAAAGCCTCTATCCGGTTTGTCAAACCGTGTCTCTACTGTTTTCGTTAAGCATTAAAGCTGAGATGGCCAGGGACGTCTCTGACGTACATTTGTAAGCCAGACCAGTGCAATGGCTACAGCTCGGTTAGCACAGAGTGGGTCTCCTGCCACGCCCCCGCCTAGCGCGTGAGCGGAAAAACCTACCGCCCCAGGGGCGGCGGCTTCTCCACCTCACTCCGAGCGCCACCTATCGTTTCCGTTGCTCACTCGTTGCCCCGTCTGCGGCTGGTTGATGCCCGGTGACAGATGGCGCTACTGGCGGGCCGGTCAGAGAGCCCCGCGGCAACGCGGCCGGCCGGCGCGCGCCCGCCCGCTCAGTCTGCCGCGTGCTCCACTGCTCGCCTGGTCCACATTCCGGCCGGCCCAACAGGTATGTTTAGAGGCCTGCAGTGGCCCAGCGTAGTCGTGCGGCGCCGCCTGTATCCTAGCAACGGTCTGTCACCGTGCATTCAGCATTGGTTCGGTCAGTCGAAGTGAATTTCCCGCTTGCACGGTGGTATCTTGACAACGTGCTCATTTTCCACACCGGCGATGTTTAAGGGCGTCCATTTCACTGGAATACATTGCTGGATTATATACTGGGTATGACATGTTCTGCCTGTGCTGCACGTATGGGCATGCCATAACTTTTCGCAGCTTTCGTGCCATTTTTGTTCACCCTTCATTTTCCATTTATATATAGATATATACACACATATATATATATATATATATATATATATATATATATGTATGTCTATAAATTTGTGTATATGAATGTATACACATACGTATACATGTATACACATACATTACAAATATACATGTATGTAGAAGCTGAGGCGAATACAACACGCATGCATACTCAATAAATTGAAGTAAATGTTCCTGGTCACTAGTTTTCGGGATCAAATTCCATCCTGCGTTTGATGTACCGGTGGCTCAGTTGGTTACGAGTGCATGCCTTCAGGTGCATCCAACCAAGTCGGCGTGGGTTCGAGTCGTTCCAGGCGCCCGCCATTCGCTCCAGACTGGGGTGGTCTGTGGCCGGCCGCGGCACTCGCTGTAAAAGCCTGATGGCGTCACTAGACAGGACGGACTGTGCCTAGCACTGAGGCATGTTAAGCTTTTGCGGCGAAGTTCTGCCGTTTACCTGGAATTTCCCGGCCTGGTGTTGGGATGAGGGCCCGTGCAACAAGTTTTTCTCAGCGCCGTCCCTGGTGTAAAAAAATTCATGCAATTAAGAGGCTCGCGCCAAATCTGCACGCAAATGCGCTGGGAAATTTCTTTCATGTCGTCCATGGCATGAATATGCCTTCCGGATTACCTTCGTCACTGCCCATTGTCTGAAAAGTGCAACACTCATTCATGCTACCCTTTTAATTAAAGGTAATGGAGACGTGTTTAACACAGCTGTTTTTTATTTAACACATGCATTTATAGACTGCGCTGTGACGCGGGGTGATATTTTTCCGTACAAATATAATAACAAAGATAACAGTACTTTGTTCGTCCTCGCAATCGTAAAAAATCGTAGCTTTGTGCGAGGATGCGAGGCTCCAGGCTCGGCGTCGTGACGGCCTTACTTGCGCACATTACATGATGGGATGGGCTTACTTGCCCATATTACATGATGGGATGGGCTTACTTGCGCACATTACATGATGGGATGGGCTTACTTGCCCATATTACATGATGGGATGGGCTTGCTTGCCCACATTACATGATGGGATGGGCTTACTTGCCCATATTACATGATGGGATGGGCTTACTTGCCCATATTACATGATGGGATGGGCTTGTTTGCCCACATTACATGATGGGATGGGCTTACTTGCCGCCGTAAATTGCATGCGTCGACGGTATTGTTTCTACGTTAAGAGGTCTGCCAATGCATAAAGCGCCTCATGAAAGGTGTTGTCACTGCATCAGATGATCTTCATGATTCATTATAACTAGTCGAGATGATTGACTGATGGATGTGTGATACTGGGAGATAAGCTTTGCTTTCACCTGGTCTTCTTGTCGTGTATTGATGCCATCGAGATTCATGATTCAATGTTGCATTTCATGAGCGTGTACACCTAAACCATAAAAACCGGGACATAACTCTGTGTATGTATACACTTGCAAATAACTTGGAGGGGGTGACCCCTCCCCCCTCCCTTTCAACGTCGAGTTAAATCCCCCAATGTTGCATGCAGTCAACTCACCCCTGGCGACTGATCCGTAGTAATTGTGTTCAGAAACGTTCTTTTGATATGAGATTGCAAGACTACTGAGGCCTTTTCTTGGTGCCTCCTGGTATATTAATGACCGTGCATTTCTGTTGTCTTCTGATGCAACATCGTTCCTTTTCATTGCTGGCGGCGATTTATCATCAGTTTGGGTTGAAATCTCTCGAATGTCATGCGATTAAACTAAGCCACAAATATGCTGATGGTGAGCATTTACGGGGAAGGCTCGTCTGAATCTTTCCCATGCAATCCGTAGTATTTGTATTAAACCACACGCTTTTCCAGGGACTACATACCAATATCACACCCGATGATTTAACACGCGCTGGGGCAAGGTCAAATTACCCCCCCACCCCCCCACCCCCACCCCATCTCCACCGAAGGCTTTGCCGAAATGTTTTCAGAACGGCGCAGCGAAGCCGCGCCAAATTTTGCAAAGCTGTGGACAATTGAAAACCGGATGGTCTGGCACCAGCAATTTAGATGCACCATGTAAGGTTGCTGACCTATGGCGGGTCAAAGCCAAGCCATGGTTTTGCAAGGGCAATTTCTATGCAATCGTTCAATCTGATCCAACAACAGAATGCTAGGTGAAACCACACATCTCTAAGATATTCTCTTAGACAACGCAACAATTGAATAAGCAAAATACGCTGACCTAGGGTCAGCTATAAAGGTCGGACCAAGGTCAACATCAACCTGTTTTATTACAACAGGGCATGCTGTATGGGGTAGTTTCTGGTGCTTATTTCGAATGCATTGATAACAGTACTCGTATTATACATAGTACACCTTCCATGGACTTATTAAAGGCCAGAAAATGTCACTGACCTTAGATGACCCAGGTAAACATTGGTTTTTAGAAACATACTGCCTAGCATAATCTTTGTCGTTTATCCAAATATAAAACTCAAAGCAGTCTTGTATGATTTTGGTCATCATGACCTTCAAGAGGTCAAACAAGGTCACTGACCTTAAGTGAGCATGTCACCTTTTGCTTAGAACAATCATCTGGTTCTAGGGGCCTTTGGAGATCAGCCTGGAATTCGAATTCCTTTGACATTATTTGGCCTGAATATCATGATCTAAAAACCTCAAACTTTGACCTAAGTAAGGTCACGTACAGGTCAACTCACTGTGGGAACTTTGTGCCCCTAGCTCTCCTAGCTCCTGAGATCTCGGGTCGGTCAAATTGACCCCCACCCAAGCGAAGGGTATCCAACCGGCCACCCGGGTGCGTGTTAAGCCACAAAGCCTTTTGGTTTTAATGAGCTTTAGCTTTCCTGAAAGCCTTCAACTCAAGCCAATTTTACATACATTGACTGTTTCAGACTTCCATTGAAGTAACTTTGATGCATGCGGTTCATTTCACAAGTCCAATCAGCTTATTGGCATGCTTAGTCCCACAGATTGTTAGAGTGGCCTTGGTATCAGAGTCCCAGCTAATTTCACTGTTTTGCATTGTTACTGGACTCTCCGCATAGTGCACATTAAGACACGGACCGTGCCAAACCATCAACCCATTATGTAGCGCACTCACTGCACCCAAAACCCCGCTCGCTCACCTTTGCTGTGGCCTTGCCGACTTGTGTGCCTAAGCTCCTGCCTTACAATTATTTTGCTGTTGCTGTTGGCTTAACAACTGGAGCCGAATTTCTCAGATACCGTTGCAATATGACTCTAAATTTGATTAAATTCACATCAATATAATTGGAATACGATTTGTCATGAGCAACAAACATTTTTGTGTCGGGAGTTTCACTTGCACCAAAGGATCATTTGCTGGTCATGCGAAAAGTCCCGGCGATTAGTACGCAGGGGTGAGTGCACAGTGGCGGGCCAGCAGAAGGCTTAAGGCCAATAGGCACGTCCATTTTGCAGGGGTTAGGCCATCCATATTATCGCTCTCTATTGCTTTGCTATTGGACTGTACTTTTCATGTTATAACCACATCATTCTAATTCGAGACTGGCTGTGCTGCTCAGTGTCATCGCTACGTCCCGTGTCTTGAACGGCAGCGTCTGAAATGGAGTTTCATAGTTCTCCATAGTGCTCCAATTTAAGATTTATAAGCTTCACAATCCGCTCTCGAAATATTGTCTTCCAAATACAGAACCACCAACCATATACCCAACACTGGATAAAATATTAATGGCCTGAGTTACGTGGGTGGCGAGTCAATGTTCGCGTAACGAGCCTTGCTTCGCAAGATTGGTTGATCATTTCGGATTGTGGGCACTAAGATCATTTTGTCATATGGCAACCTTATTTAACGCTTCGCAACAATTCTGGTTTCAGCGCCTTTCGCGGAACAGGATCGCGACTTCTTTAGCGGTACGCACAGCACATTGTGTACAGTACATCACATGTTCCAGCTGTGGACCTTGAACTTAATATTCGCTCGTAAAATGGAACACAGCGTGAGGTACTTCCTGCATTAGCCCACAATGTCATTGTAATGCTCTGCAACTTAACAGAACATGCGGTGCCAGTGCCTCATTGCAGCGGCGGTGAATCGCTCATTGGAACGTCGCTATTTCAGTCAGTGGGACTGTCGAATGTCCGGTACTGGGGCGGCTGGGTGTTCGCCACAGGAGGGGCGCGTGTCCAAGAGAAGCGGCCGACCAGCCCAGGGAAGGCCGCGTGTCCGGGACTGGATCGGCCGCGTGTCCGTCACACGAGCCTTCGTGCGCTCGGACTAGGGTTGGGCGCGCGGACTTCGCACGTGTCCAAGAGAAGCGGCCGACCAGCCCGGGGAAGGCCGCGTGTCCGGGACTGGACCGGCCGCGTGCCCGTCACACGAGCCTTCGTGCGCTCGGACTAGGGTTGCCGTGTGTCCATCACGGAGAGGCAGAGTGCCAGCGCTGGAGCAGCCGTCCATCACTAGGTCAGCCGTGTTTCCGGCACTGGAAAGGCCGCATGCCCGGCACAGGAGAGGCCGTGTGTCCAGCACTGCAGTGGGTGCGTGTTCGGCACTAGGGTGGGCGCACTTTCGGGACTGGAGCGGCCGCGCGTCGGGCACAGGAGAGGCCGTGTGTCCGACGCAGGGCAGGGAACCGCTGGCGCCAGACTGCAGAGCGCTTAACCCCCGCCCAGATCCGTTTTTTTCAAAACGCGGACTAAGGAAGAGTAGGTTTATGCGACCCCTGCCTTT